AATAATCTAGCAATGGAGATAAGGACAAAAACTAAGAGCTCAACAATTTTTAAAAAAGCATTGAAAACTACTCAGTGAGAAACCACACTACTGCGCTGGTGAATTTTTCAAGTATACATTTTAAATCGAATTCAATTGCAACACTAAAGTCATCTTGTGGTAATGTAATTACCCTAGTCTGATGTAGCATTTGATGATTCATTTATTCATTCATTCACCATTTTTTAACTAATTTGTTTTTTTATATGTCTTGTTTCAAATTATTTAGGTTTCAACTTCTGACTGGTTTATTAGGTGTATATTTTCTAAAATACTGATATAAGATACGCTTTGTCAATAAGAGTTTTTGTTTTTCAGACAATAAAGAATGCTTATCTCTCTTTCTTCCTCTCTCTCTCTCTTTCTCTATTCATAATTTTCTTCCAGGCGGGTAACGGAATACGATTCATTTCTAAGCAGCTGTTCAAAATACACTTCTCCAGAAATAAGAATATACGCTAGTATCTTTTGAACACATTTTTTTTCTTTCTTCTGTGTTGTTGGGTTTTGTATGTGTGAGCAAAGATATCATTGTATCTGTTGTTTTGTAAGATGTTCTAATATCATATCTTTTCACAATTCGTCTTATTTCCTACACAAAAAGTGACTTTTGTTCACTATCTCTGCCTCATTTTACTTAGTCCAACACTATAGTCCAGTAAGTGACTTTGTAATAATTCTGCACCAATTCCTGTTCTGTTGAAGCGGTTGTCATTCTCAAAGAATACATCGGCCCTTCTTTCGATCGCCTCGATACTCTCAGGGTTTTCGTGGTGACTTGAAGATTATGACCTTTGGCTGACACTGATATTCGTTTTTATCAGGTAAATTCTCAGGATTCAAGAAAAATAGTATTTCTTACTGCACCCTGACTTTAAATCTTTCCAAAGCAACAGAACTCAGACTATTATTCTGTCATTATACTTATTTAAACACCCCGTATCTCAACCTAGCGATTATAAGTGTAATCATAGGATACTGTTTTGTAATGGTTGTGAAGGAATGCCTCAAAATGTGCCAATGTATTTAGGAAACACCCTGTACGATACGTGCTGAAACACATTTGATATATTTCATTCTGTATTGCATTACAAAAATTTCGTCCAAAACATCGGGTCATTGGTCCCACTGTGCTTTCACGTAAGAACATATTTTTAGAAGTCTGTAGTATTTCTGGAAGGACGACTGTTAATGTGATTTGTTTAATTGAGCGCATAGCATGAAATTCGTTTTTCTGTATTTACGCAGAATTGAAAAAATAACATGTCAATATTGTCATAGACCTTTTAGTGTTTGTATAACAGATAGAAAAGATATTTCTCGTAAACACCTGCGAGTTTAATATCAAGAAGTGTGATAAATTTGTAGTAATATCTTGTTTTTCTACCAAAATAAACAAAAACATACTTGAAGTGTTGATATATCTGAAATGTGGGGCAAGAGACCAATTCTTTTATGTTTTTGTTCCAACAGCAACAGGACCGTCTCGAGACAATCATGAAGATGAGGCAGCCAAAAATGAACTGTGAGTTTAAGAAGGAGAATATATAAAGAAATTAAAGGTAGGACATTTTTGTGGTTTTTTTTTGAATATTATGAATTTTTTTTTCTTAATCAAACTGTTTTTGTGGAATATCAGATTTCAAAAAGTGTTTCATGATGAATCAAAATTTGGAAAAAGGCTATTAGCTAAGCTAAATTGACTTTTCATATCGTATTTGTGAAGCACGAAGATATGTACTACTACATGGGCTGGAAAGTCTCGGGTGTAACACATAGATGGCGCCAGTTTTATTGCATCCACCACTTTTTCAGTCAATACTAACCTACAAAAGAAAGCTGTTGAAATTTCATAAAATTCTACTCATAAGTTTGTGAGTTACTGTGCTAACATTGACACTACTTTTGTTATTTTCAAAATAATGGATCAACAATTTCGTGTTTTACTTTTACACTGCTTCTTGAAGGATAAAAATACCGTTCAAGTGAAGCAATGATTTAAAAAGTGTTATAAGGACTTTTCATATTGTATTTGTGAAGCACGAAGATATATACTACTACATGGGCTGGAAAATCTCGGGTCTAACACATAGATGGCGCCAGTTTTATTGCATCCACCGCTTTTTCAGTAAGTACTAACCTACAAAAGAAAGCTGTTGAAATTTCATAATATTCTACTCATAAGTTTGTGAGTTACTGTGCTAACATTGACACTACTTTTGTTATTTTCAAAATAATGGATCAACAATTTCGTGTTTTACTTTTACACTGCTTCTTGAAGGATAAAAATACCGTTCAAGTGAAGCAATTATTTAAAAAGTGTTATGAGGACTCCGTTCCATCAGAAACAACAATTAAACATTGGTTTGCCGACTTCAAACGTGGTCGTAGAGATATCGATGATGCAAAATGCTGTGAATGTCCAAATGAGGCAGTAACACCAGAAAACTTATTAAAATCCACGAAACCGTTTGGAATGATCGAAAAGTAAAGCTGCGTAAGTTAGTTGACATTGTAAAGGTATCAAAAGAAAGTGTTGGCTTTATATCGCATGAGCATTTGACTATGAGAAACCTCTGTTCAAAGTAGATGCCGTGCGAGCTTAATGTTGACCAGAAACAACATCGTCTTGATGATTCTGAGCAGTGTTTGGCCATGACAAACCAAAACGTTTGTATCATATGTGACAATGGACGAAACATGGATTCATCACTCCACTCCAAAATCAAAACGATCATCATCTGAGTGGAGAGCTACTGGTGAACCTCATTCAAAGCCCCCGAAAGCACAACAATCAGCTGGCCTCCGTATTTTGGGTAGTGCGTGGTGTAATATTCCTCGACTGCCTTGAAAAGGAAAATACCATCAACAGTAAATATTATTTAGCATTATTGGAGTGTTAGAAAACCGAAATGTCACAAGTCAATGATGCTTTCCTACTGCAGAACTATAATAATAAAATAATAATAATAATAAATTGTCTTTATTTAATGTAGTGGAGATTTCCGTGAACTACTATTCTATATATCATCATAGGTCTCAATACAGTTACTAGTGTTCATTATAATTTTTTACAAATATTGATAGGTATCGTCTACAAATAGAAATAGCAGATTCTCGGAAACTTTGGAAATTCAGACTCCTTCATTCAGAAAAATCCCTTCGATATTGGAATACCAAAAATTTAGTAGATAGAGTGTTCTAAATAAAATGTATTGTGAAAATTCTGTTATTAATTTTCATCAAGCAACGGGTCGGAGTATTCATAATCAGAGAAATAGTTGATTTTCAGTTCAACAGTATTTGAGTATCCCATTGACAATTTAAATCAAAGAAATAAACATAAATCGAATAATTTCATAAGTTTCTACCTACTTCCATTGTCTAATATGATACAAATTTATTTGAAATCCCTGAAAGAACTAAAAAAGAAGTAAAAAAGAATAGCAGAAAATAACAATTATATTAAGCAAACAAGCCCTAAAATTAAATTACAGTGAAATATAATACAAGAAAAAATTAAACAGATAAACGAAAAATGAAAAATAAAAAATCAAGTCCAAGTCAAGTTACTTCACGACGTTTCGTATCCACAATCTTTTTCGGGTGATGACTGGACTAATAATTCCTCCGAGAGATGACTATTTATGGGTCATTCGAGTAATTTCACTCATCTCCTCTTTCTGCTTCACCGGTTTAGCGGGGGATGACTGTTTGGAGGGACTTGGTCATTTTTCGCTTGACTATGGGTTTCCATATATTGCGTATCTCTACGCTAGCTTGGCTGAATACATCGATGAACAACATGTATGCGGCTTCTTTGAATTTCCTTCTAAACCAGTGTTCCTCCTAAACCAGTGTTCCTCCTATGTATGATCTCAGCTTGGGACCACTCGATGTTATGTTGATGGGTCCAAACATTCTCTGCTATTCTTGATTTGCTGGTTTTCCCTCACTGGCCTTCCCTCTATCGATTTATCTTGATTGTAAGGGGTTAAATACCCTAAAAACAGCAAGAAATAAATATCCCCCTTCCCTTGATATTTCCTTCAGTTCGTTTTTGTACTGCCAGCATAAGAAATATGTAAACACCTCCATGAGTGACTGATAAATTATTAAAGCAGAGTTTGGAAAGCTTTTCTAGACTTTTCAGCGATCTTTTGATCCGAGATTGTATTCATGATCTTCAAAAAGATGAATATTATAATCAATACAATTATAAAAATCTTCCTATACGATCAGAATGAAAAAACCTATTTTCGTACGTTCGCTTATAAGATATTTCTACCTGCTTTGGATTATACTGTCAACAAGTGAATCGTGGCTGAAATAAAATTTAAAAATTTTGTTTTCCATGTTAATTAAAGTGGTCGAGTTTTAGAAATTATTCATCTTCATTTCAATTTTAAATAATTGGCCTTGAATTACATCGTCTCGAGTGAACGCACATTCATATCAGTTGTGGTATTCAGGTGGCCAATAATATCCGTTCATACTCCTTTTATTTCAGTTGTTACGGGATGAAATTGTCCAAAAAGTCGCCTCGTCAGACGTACGGTTTTTCTTTTCACCCCGTAGAATTTTTCATAAGACGGTACGAACGAACAGGTATCTATGGAACGTAGAACGAATAAGCTTACACATTTCTTTTATTTCCTCCACCGTAGGTAGATAATTTTCATGCGGGAATTTTAAGAATCGTAGATAACCTAACAATTGTTGAACGATAATGAGTCCGGTATTTGTTATTTAAGTGATTGTTACAGTGCTGTTTGTACGTCAAGCGAAATAGGTAAGACTTGGAAATTAGTTTTTATAATGAGCGCGAAACTACTGAATTCATGTTTTGCCGGGAATTCTACAATAGTACGTGATATTCAAGACATTTTGATAGCACACAATCAGGTCACCTTGGGGTTTTTGCTACCAGCTTGGGAAAAAACAAGTAGTTCAAAAAATCTCTCCACAGGTCATTTCAATGCGAAGTGGTCCTTTCTAGTATTTGAAAAAGGCAACTCTAGGTTAACAAAAATGAGTGATAGTGAAACAATCATTCAATAATAGTAAAGAAAGTACTTGAAGAGGGGAAAAACAAAACAATCGTACTACTAAACTATTTTGGACAATTTTAGGTAAGAGCCCATCCAAAACAGCCGGCTTTCCATGTTTTTAGTTCAATTTTAAGGTATCATTGGGAATATTTACGTTTTTCAGTCATATTAGTTATCGGGTTTATTTTGCGTAGTTTGCCAATATACAGTGCGAGCGTAAAAAGTTCCCTTCCGACTTTCAATTGGGACATGATTTCAAGGTGGGACAAAGAGAATACTGTTTGAAAGTAGTTGACAATGTTTCAAAGTGAATTTTATTATTTCGGACTTCCATTGTCAAATATGATTCTACTCTGATGCGAAATCTATGAAAGAACAAATAAAAATTAGAATGAATAGCTAAAATATCAACTATATAGTCATCACCCGAAGACGATTGTGGATACTGGCAATCGAAACGTCGTGAAGTAGGTAGCTTGGTTTGGTAAATATTCGTTTTGAGGGCACCCGCGATTTTGAAAAACTTTTTAAGTGTACTTACGTATTTTGATACGTAGATTACGAATCCGAAAGAGAAAAGCGGCGCTCTCCCTTATTTACAAAGTTACGGCTCTTCAGAGTTCAGAAAAGGGCAATTTTCAGTCTTCTTTTCCACAAGAAAGACTACTTAAAAACACAAGCATTTATTCACTAGGTCACCTTGACACCTTATTCCTCCTTCCTTGACACTTTTCACTTCAATAATCAATATTTTTTCAATAAAAATGTTAAAGAATATACGGAGCTGCTTTTTGGTTATATATCTCTGTATTTTACGTTTTTGAGGTTAATGGCATAGCTGGTACAACTGATACTAGCATTCGTTTTTAAATCAAGTTCTTCAGAAGAAAAATGTTGATTGTTGAGCTGAAAAGTGTCAATTGAGGAGGAATAAGTTGTAAAGGTGACCTAGTGAATAAATACTTGTGTTTTCAAATAGGTTATCTTGTGAAAAAGAAGGCTGAAAAGTTGCCTTTTTCTGAAATTTGAAGGGCCGTAACTTGTAAATAAGGAAGAGCACCGCTTTTTTCTTTCGGATTCGTAATCTACGCATCAAAATACATAAGTACACTCAAACATTTTTTCAAAATCGCCGGGTGCCCTCAAAACGAATATTTACTCTTGGTTTGAAATCTTTTTCAATTTATTTTTTGATTTTTTGCTTACTTTTATTTTTATTCTTTTTATTCTTCAGTTCTTTTTTTACTCTGTTGTAATTTCCATTTTGTATCTTGTTAATTTTTTTTGTATTTTCATTCCACGTTTTATTTTTGTTTGAAGGTGGTTGACAATGTTTCGTGGTGTATTTTATCAGTTTGGACTTCCATTGTCTAATATAATATAAATTGATTTTGATAACCCTGAAAAAAATCAAAAAGATTAACCGAATATTACAATTTTATTGAACTTAGACTATTATATTAGACAATGGAAGTCCGAACTGATGAAATACACCACGTTTTATTGTTTGATATAATTGATATTTTAGCTATTCATTTTAATTTCTATTTGCTCTTTCATAGATTTTGAATCATAATAGGAACAGATCAGATGATGGGAGTCCGAACTGATAAAATTCAAAGGCAATACTGTTATAGTATTTCCAATACCAATTGGAACAGCATAGAGAAGGAATTCCCGCCTCGACATAGGCGTCAGCATATTATTTTTCAATGGTAGTTTTTCAGTTACTTATTCTTACAATCATAGCAATTGATCACCCCATGAAAAAGTTATCTCAACTGAATTTTTCCACCATGGGTAATTATGAAAAGCTTCGAAATTCAAGGTAGTTGATTTCCGAGTAGAAAACTCTTAAATACAATGAAAACACTAATACTCCTACCGAATTCTCGTCAAACATATATTTACAAAATAATAGAAGCCAACAAAATTGCTAGAAAAATCAAAATTCTCATTCGCTAAATTCGGATGAGGTGGAATCATCATCGGATTGAATAACGATTGGATTTATGGAACTTTGCACATAATATTTGTTCTCTTCATTTATAACGTAGGCCACACAGTTCTTCCACACATCACTATTACTTACTTCATTCACCACTCGCCTTATATTGTCAAGCACTACAGCATTCAAAGTCGGTGACTGATTACATTTCCGCAAGCTTTCTTTCATTGTGGCCCAAACCATTTCAATTGGATTGAACACACAATAGTATGGAGGCAAACGTAAGAGAATATGACCACGTGTTTCACACATCGAATCAATAATCCGCTTTTTAATCTATTGTTGAATTAATTTGCAGGTAGTGGTTCCACTAGTTAATTACGGAAAAATCAATTAGGATAATCATCATTTAACAAACAAAGTCCACATCGGACCAAAAAACTTCAGGTATATAAACAGCTAACCCTTGTCTTTAGATTCAGTATCAATTTGCTTCTCCTGAAGATGCTAACCTTGTTAGCGAAATGCGCGTCGAGTGCAAAAATATCAGTTTGGTGTTAGGGTAATCGATCTCTAGAAAAAATTTTCAAAAATCGGTTTGCAAAACCACTCACTACCTCACCCAACCACACGAACACACGGCACTGATAAAGAAATATTGTGAAACGGACAAAAAATTAGTATTCAGCCAGTCCAGCTAGCCGAGCCTTTATTCGTCAACTACATTCGATATCACGTTTACTAACTATCTGGGCGACTATGGGCCACAAGCAAGAAATGTTTATGACTGTACTCTTATTTTTATTGCCGTTCCAATTGGGAATGGATAGACTATACATCACTTGTTGCCGAGAGGGTGCTAACAATTTTTTAACGAAATTTGTGGTTTTGTGAAACTTGTTTGATAGGTATTTCATTTCTCTATCCAATACTACTGTTTTATGGGAAATGAATAAGGTTTTCCTGAGTAATTGAAGTTTTTTAATGGTTAAACAACACTAAAAGTCATAATTTCAAAAAAGTGTAGATACTAAAAACTCACTTCAATTTATGCCAACCAATGTTCAAAAGTTTCCCCATTCACTTTATGACAATAATTTAGTAGTGTGTGTTATTCTTGTACTTTTCATATATTTAAAGTTGAATTGAACTTCCTCGAACACTTCTACACACCCAGAACCAGAATCCGTAAATCCTAACCGATATTTCCAACAACAGCATGGACCGTTCCTGGGCTACTTGCGTTAGGAACACCTCTGGAACAGACTGCGCTGGTAAAAACCCAACTTCAGACTTCACAAAAATCATAAGGAAGTCATATAAGATAACCTAACGGGCCATTCTAAATGCCCACGTTGCCCATCCACCAAGATATTAGTTGAAATCTTTGGATTTGAAAATCATCCCGATCGGTGGATAGGCAATAATGGTCCCTCAGAATGGTCCAACGGAAATGGTGCAGGTAATTTCAGGACTCGATGATAGAAACAGAGAGCATGTAATGAAATTACTCCAGGAACATTTCACAATGTAAGGAAAATTTTGACTGACTTTGATATCTTGACCCATTGAAAAGTTAAGACAGGGGAAGTTTTTACGTCCGCACTGTATAAAAGCGTACTAGATGACCGTGCGGGCATAATGACAAAAAGCGGTTTCTGATCAAAACTGGGAATATAAAATCGAGACTCGTTAGGGCTGCCTTCCTTCCGAAACCTGAGGAACTGAAATTATCAAAAGCCTTGAGACCAACAAGTCTCATGTCATTTGCATTGAGAGTATTAGGGACGTATCACTGGCTATTAGACCACTGCATTGATATAGTATGTTTCACTCTAAATGATATTGGCTTATCAACTGCAATAAACTACCTGATTTAATCCCATTGTATAGTGTGGTGTAGTGAAATATTGTGATTATCTTCACATACCGTGAAACCTACTATACCAATGTGCGTTCAGGTCAGGTATATCAGGAAAAAATACAGTTGAGTCGACGATAGAAAATATATGCGTTATCAATTTGTAAGTATGTACATCCGATATGAATTTCAACTCCTATAGCTGGTAATTTGAATATTCCAATAGACAGAGCTATTCCCAATTTGAGTTTAAAATTAACTTAGTGTGGGACTATGAAATTCTTACAGTTTATTAGCTGAGACAACAACTATTGTGTGGTATAGAAGAATTCAAAAGGTAGAACATTTATAATAAACAACTTGTGAACATATACACCGACAAACTATAGTAATACGTCATCATAACTCGCTGAGTTTTCAATGTTTTGAATCTAATGACTATTATAATTTAAAAAAATGAAGGTTAATTGATAAATGTAGCCGTTACTACGTGGCAGGAAATTATAATGAAGGAAAAAGAGTTGAAACTTTCTATGTTTTTACCACTTTTATAAAAGTTGTAAACATTAAGGTTATTTTGAGTGCTTCAAAATAGTTCTGTGAAATTTCCTCAGAAATATGGTTTATTATTTGATTATTTCACGTTGAAACTTTCAAGAATAAGAACCATAAGCCCATATTTTTTGCTATCCATCAGCTACATTTTCACTAGTTTTTTTGGTTCAAAAATTCAACACTTTCTTTAGAAAATGAGTCAAAAAATATTGACTTTCAGATGAAACTTTGTATAACAAGTGTTGCTTATAATCTATCTATCTTTATCTGTAGAGTAGAGAAGGTGAGTACCTATGTAGATAGATAGATAGATAAATAACTTCATTAACTACGTAAATACAATGTTTATTTTGTAGCAAGACCAAATAGAATATATACATATACTACTCTTTCAGGTATTACTTAGACTACGCGTATCGCTGACAGGTGTGTCCATATACTCACGAATTAAATAGAACCCATTTTCTGAAAGAAATCTCTCAAATTTTTTTGAAGCAGATCATATCTAGAATCTTCCTACTGGATGGGGATTTATTGTAGAGAGCAACATCTAGAGAATTATTAGCAGATTTATTTAATCTAGATATCTGTGGTCTGAGATAACCAGCACCACGGGTTTTATATTCATGAAAGTTCGAATTTATACTTAGTTCATTTTTTCTACTATGGATATCTAGAACTTGGTGTAGACCCACAGCACTTAGACCACATGTGACC